TAGCTGCCTTATTTTCTGAGTTTATTTTCTTGAAAAACCATTGTTCCCCACTGAAATTTTTCAACAATTTGGATGCTTTAATTCATTTTTCATTGGTGTCCAATTTGCTTATGAGAAGATGTTTTGATTCAAAATGGCGACAAAGATTGCATTCATTCAGAACAGCTATTACTTCTTGGCAAACAAGGCACAATATCTTGTCTCTTGTGTAAGTAAACAAGTATCTATTTGTCCACTCCAGATTAGACACTCTATGTTCTGATTCAATCTTCCATTTCTTTTTATTACTCAATTTACAAAGTCACCCCAAAAACTTTAATGTTAGAACCAAAAAAATCTCCACAGCAACTGCTCACATACAAAGAAATACTGAAGTGAGTATCTGACCTTGGAGAGAGCGCCAGACACTCACTTGTAGGACAGCCACGCAGTGAGGGAGGAGAAGAAGCCCTCACATTGTTGGGGCTCATCACACAGCAGGCGTCAGCTAGATAGGTGTGCAGCTGCACTCGCTTTGTCCCTGTTCAACACCAGCAACAACCAAGAACACAGCGAAAAGATAGGACTCTCACTCCTCTCAGATTAGAGACAGACTGAGTTGCCATGGGTCATGTGACAAAGAGGAGAGCGTGCACGATGGCAACCCACCTGTCAAGTTACATGACAGGCACAATAGCGACTAGCGGAAGGTGGGTTAAGTGGGGCACAGACAAAGCACTCATTATATATTTACTTTCTTTTACATCCTCTACATTTTTCATGGACCACCTGAAATCCTTTGGCAGGCTACAAGTGGCCCATGGACCATATATTGTGCAGGCCTGAACTGAAACAAAGATGGGATGAGAAACTGTTTTGGTTCAGTCATTTTCAGTCATGTATGAATCTGTGACCATATTTGGGGTTTTCTTGGCAAAGACATTGAAATGATTTGGCATTTCTTTCTCCAGCTCATTTTACAGATGAGAAAACTGAGGCAGACAGGGTTAAGTGACTTGCCCAGGGTCACACAACTAATAAGTATCTGAGACCAGATTTGAACTTAGGAAAATGAGTTTTCCTAACTCAAGAAATGGCACTCCATCCATTGCTCCATCTAGCAGGCCATGAGCAATTCTACCACATCAAATATACACAGAGATTTATTTAAAGGCAGCACAATATAGAAAACACTGAGAGATTAATTTATAAAGTAAATATCTATAAAAGGAAAAATACTAAAGAACTAGTAATATTGTCATTTCTTGCCCCCCCCCAAAAAAAACTGCTCAGGAGAATGCCAATAGCTACTAACCTTCTCTTTCCATATAAAACTTTTGAGACTGACAAATACGGAGGTTAGTCTTCACGAAAAAGGAAAGAAATAGGCTTTCACAAATGCTTTTCTATGGAGGAATACACTGTCATAGTCACACATGGTAGAATGACATAGAAAATACAAGATCATGCTGCATTTATTATTTGTCTATTATATTAAAAAGCATTTAACCTGACATAGCAAAAAACAACCTTAAAAGTTCTTCTCTGTCAAAGTATCTCTCATAGGTACAGTAAGATCATTCAAGATTCCCTAACAATTACAACCACAAAAATAACTTTGTTCAACAACTCTCTGTCAATATCAAATGAGTCACAATGCAGGAAGGTGTATGTTCGCCAAGGATGTTTGACACTGTCACAGAAGATAATGTGCACAAAGTCCAAATGGAAGACATATTCCCAATATATGATCTGGTCCTTGAGATTCTCCTATCTGCAAAAGATAGTTTGATGGCTACATCAAGCTACTTCTCAATGAAGTAAGTGTCCTCTCAAAAGAGACTGGATTTAGCAATTCATGAGGAAAAAATCAATTGGATGAGAATGTTTACTGTCCAGACATATGACTACATGAGCAGTCAACTGAGTCAGTCTTTGCATCCAAATAGATTAATATTAATTTACAGGCATTTATTAAGTATTCACGCACCAGGTACTCTGCTTGGCACTGGGGATACTAAGACAAAAAAATCAATCAAAAAGTACTTATTAAGGGCTATTTATCTGCCAGGCATTGTGCCAGGCACTGGGGACACAAAGACAAAAGTCAAACAGTCCCTGTTCTCAAGGAGCTTACATTCTATCGGGGGAGGAAAAAGTACACACATAGAAATACATGCAAAATACATACAAGGTAGTTAGAAAGGGAAGGCACTAGCAACTGGGCAGGTGGAAAGGCATAATAATGTAGGTACTTCTTGAGCTGAGTCTTGAAGGGAGTGAGGGATGCTATGAAGCAGAGGTGAGGAGGACAGCCCGTGCAAAGGCACAGAGATAAGAGATGGAACAGTGCTTGCCCTGAAGGAGCTTCTAAATAAATATATAATCTCCCTCTTACAAATTAGTGGCGCCCTATTACCTCTAGAATAAAATATAAAGTCCTCTGTTTGGTGTTCAAAGTACTTCATAATCTGGCCCCACTCTACCTTTCCAGATACCTTTCCACCTAACCACATACTCTTCAATGCAGTGACACTGGCCTCCTGGCTATTCCTTGAAGAAGACGTTTCATCTCCTGTCTCTGGGCATTTTCTCTGGCTGTCCTCCATGCCCGGAATGCTCTCCCTGCTCATCGCTTCCTGGCTTCCTTCAAGTACCAGCTAAGCCTTTCACAATTCCTCTCTTAATTCTAATGTTTTCTCTCTGTTGATTATTTCCAATTTGTCCTGCATATAGTTTCTTTGTACGTAGTTATTTGCATGTTGTCTCCTCTGTTAGATTGTGAGCTCCTTGAATCAGGGACTATTTTTACCTTTCTTTATATCCTCAGTGTTTAACAAAGTGCCTGACACATAGTAGGACTTAAAAAATGTTTGTTGGCTCACTGAGTCTCTGTGTTTAGAATAGAACCTTCATTTCCTGATGGAGTCCGAATGAATATTGAAACATACTATTTTTCACTTTATTTTTTATGAGGTTTTCTTGTGTCTATGTTTTCTTTTTCAACATGACTGATATGGAAATATGTTTTGCATGATTACACATTTATAACCTATATAAAATTGTTTGGCATCTCAAGAAGGGGGTAGGGAAGGAAAGGAAAGAGAATTTAGAACTCGAAATTTTTTTTAAAAAAGAATATTAAAAATTGTTTTTTACACATAATTGGAAAAAAATAAAATTTTGACTTAAGTTACATGTTATGACAGATAAATTTATACAAACTTAACAAATGAACATGAACTTGGATAATAATTAAACCAAGATATCAGATATGGTGTTAAAATATGGGATCTAACAAAATAGTGAGCAGGTATGAATTTCAAATAATCAAAACTAAAACACAGAGGATCAGTGATCAACCCTATGCTGGACCCGAGTTTAGAGAAGTTCATCAATGATTTATCCATAAAATGATGAATTTTTCAGCTGGAAAACTATCTATGTAAATAGGGATTATAGTCTGTATTAGTGGAACATGTACCCAAAATGACAAAATTATAGATTTTTGAAACATAACTAAATCTGAGCGTCTTTCTATTTTTTCACTGTTTTATGACAAGAATCAAAACTGTGGGTAACAAACTAGTCTAAATATTTTTGCAATGATTGAAAATATAAAAACTGGCACAAAAATAAGCAATAAGAATATATATGACCTGAAAAGGAGGCTTGTGGGAACTGTAATGAATGCTGAATAATTGGTAGATAGTTTCTAGTATGTTAGGTAAATGCTATATGGAGGATATGTTCAAGAAATGCATAGGATGAGAAAGCATGGATGGGCTGTAATCTCTTAACTATGGAGGAGGTATCCATTTAATGAGATCACAGATGGATACGTGGACTTTAAGGTGAACAAAGGTTTGTGCTTGTAAACAACAACAATGACAATGACGCTCTGCACATACATACACCTTCCTATTTGCAGTATCTCTGGGTTAATCTGAATGAAGGAAATACATGAAGCCTCTTTACTAGATGAGCAATATTCTCGAAGAAAAATGAAATCCTATCTAAAAGATATCTGGATTGATTCGAGGCAAGCTACTCCTTACACTCTGACAAATCTGATCTAAAGCTTCAGGAGCAGTCATTTCTAATTTATCCTAAACAGTTACTAAGGGCAATTTAATGGGTTCTAAAAGGGAAGAAAAGAAAAGAGGGAAGTTATGAAGGAAAGATGATATAAGCTGGGACAGACTGAAAAGGAGAGTATTCTTGAACAATTTAAAAGTTTGCCAACTCTGTCTGTTGTATACAAGGCAACAAAGATATAAAGAAAAAAAATCAAAATGGTCCACACCTTCCTTTAAGGGGCTTACATTTTACTAGAGGAATACAGTATGTTCACAGATAATTGAATACAGAGTAATTTCAGGAAAGAGAATGCTAACTACTGGGAGAATGAGTTAAGGCCTTGAAAAAATATGACTATTCTAAGATTCTAAGAGGTGGTGAGGAGAAAATTCATTCCAGCTATGGTAGATGACTTGTGAGGATGTATGGAGGCAGGAGAAAGTCTCCTGAGTTTGGAGAATAGAGAGGAGGAGTCTATTTTGGCTAGCTCAGCAAGAGAGGAATAAAATGGAATAAATCTGGAAAAATAGGTTAAAGTTTATTTCCAGATTGTGGAGGGTATTAAATGCCAAGCTAAGTTGTTTACATCTTACATTAGAGACAATAGAGAGTCACTGAAAATTTATGAGATTAAATGGTCAGCTCTATTCCTTAATAAAATTACTAAGTACTATATAGGATAGCCTAGGAAAAGGAGAGACTAGAAGCAGGGAGATCAGATAAGCTTCAAGTAAGGATTTAAGTGCTTCTGCTGCTATGATTCAATTGCACTCCCGTATCTGGACTTTACTTACCTGCTGACATGGATTCAAACCAACCATCCAAACTATTCTCATTCCCTCACCACAATGTGTTTTGGTATGTTCATACACACATACTTTTCTAACAATTAAATTTTATAATTTTCACACTGGCACAAACACAACACAGCTACTACTTACATCATAAGTCAGTGAATCAGCCTCATTGGCAACTGTAAGTCCTGCCAATTCACCAAGACCAAGCTCATTTTCAAGGGCTTCATCTGCTCCCATGATAAATGACTTCCCTGATGTAGGAGGGAATGTTAATGCTTCCACTGTAATATGAAAAAGAAAGGAAGGGGAAATGCAAAAAATTAAGTCTCATTTATTTGCTAGAACAAGAAATCTTCTGATGATTTGCTTATTTTGTTTAGATAACTTTATTACCCCAAGTGTAGAAGATAGAAAATTCTAAAACTTGATTGCTTTTCTTTACTATACCATTTCACTAAATTCCCCAACTGTTTAGAAAAATAAATCCCACAATGATTCCTTTTTTTTTGAGAAATCAAATCACAAGACAACAGAAACTTGCTGTTTATTTAAATACATCTAATAATATTAAGCACAATCCACTAGTAGTGCTATTGCCTTGAGACTTCATTTGGGGTAAATATGTCACTCTGGAACCTCTACCAATGTCACATTAATCTTTGACATTTTTTAAAGTTAAGTATTCTACTAGAAATTTAATATTAACTATCAAAAGGCAACTTGCACGACAACTATTTACAATCAAATTAATTTCAACACATTAACTGTCATAATGAGAGGGAGGGTAGCACAGGGGATAAAGAAGTGGTCAAGTCCTGCCTCTGACACACATTGACTATGATGGTGAGCAAGTCACTTAACTGCTCTATGCTTCAGCTCTGTAAGACAGGAACTTACAGAGAAGGTGCTGACCTGCACGGGTAGGAGAAATTCCTCACTGGGAATTTCCAATACCAAATGAAATCCTAGATCTAGGCCCAATCAATACCATAGCACTTTTTCAGTCCCTCCTTTGAAGTCTCCATCATAGTTCTTTAATTATTTCTTTGTCCATTCAATCCTTCTCTCTGAAGGAGGATTTATTTTTATTTTTATTTATTTTGAACTTAACAACAAATAAAATGAATACTTCCACATTCAGAGTTAGGTCAGAAAAAGGACTGTACATCAAATGGAATCTATATGTGCAGCTAGTTTTTATTTTTTGTAATAAACTCAGCATTTAACTTTCAAAGCTGCCTTGCTTCTCTGTGATTCATTCTGGCCTTCATAGGATCATAAATTCAGAGCTGGAAAAGACCTGAGAGGTCCCTGAATCTCTCTCCCTCATTTTACAGTTGAGGAAACTAAAGCTGAGAAAGCTAAGTATCAGAGGCAAGATTTGAACTCTGGTTTTTCTTAAGTCTAGCCCTGTATCCTCTGCACCATCTAGATGCCCCATGCCTGGTATAGTGACTGTCACATATTGGGCACTTAATAAATGCTTGTTCATTAACTAAATGAATAGGAATTTTCTATATCTAACTACTGAATATTAATGCTCTTTGAGTCTAAAATTTAGTATGGTTTGGTTTTTGTCTATTGAAAATTAAGACTATATGAAATACTATTTAGCTATTTTTGTAAGCTATGAGAAGGAGAAAAATCTATGCAAATTTTTTCTTCTGGGCAAATTTGTTAAGGTAATGCTACAGGAAACCATTTTGATTAAATTGTTTATTTCAGCGGCATCAATTAACTCTGCTAAGGCAGCAAAGAACCACTTAGTACCATAATTTCATGCCTATAATATATAAAAGCAGAAAAACCAAATAACTTCTACATTAGATTAAAAAACAAAAACAAAACTACGGACCATCAAAAACAACAGAATAGGAAGAGACAAAACAGCCCAGTTTTCTCCTACAACTTCTCCACAAAAGAACAAGGAAGAGCAAAAGACTGAGTAGAAATTAGGAAATCTAAGAAAAAAACCACAATAAGCAATTTTTCCAGCCCAGGTCAACCTAGTAAGACAGCCAGAAGCCCAGGACCTCTGGGAAGGGATCAAACCAATATGGAGTAGAGCCTTCTAGCACAGAGATCTAAATGAGGCCTGCAGGTTGTAGATCCAGGCTATATACTATGCAAAGAGTAGGAGGAAAAGCTGGATGACAGATGGGTCCTCTGCCCCTGGAGTTGGGTCATAGATCCAGCATGATCTAAATGAATAGTTCCAAAGGAGAAAGGGACAAGCCTAAAGCTGTGTACTGAACAAAGAGCAAGAACAGAAACCAGAAGTTGCTGTGTGGTCTCCTAACCTCATCTACAGTTGTGAATTAAGCCCATAGACCTAGGTTAGGGCCTGCAGTTGAATAACCAGGGCAAGGAGTTCAGAACAAGAATGAGCCTGCAGGGCAGTTAGGTGGCCCAAGGGATAGAGCACTGGCCCTAGAGTCAGGAACACCTGAGTTCAAATCCGGTTTCAGACCAGATACTTAACACTTACTAGCTGTCTGACCCTGAGCAAAGTCACTTAACTCCAAACTGCCTCATCAAAAAAAAAAAATAATAATAATAATAATAATAATAATAACAACAATGAGCCTGCAATTCTGTAACTCTGAACCTGTAGAGATTTACTCAGATAACAAAAGACAGGGTCAGTAGCAGATAAACAGAGGTTCAACTCTGGCTAAATCTGCAGTTACATTATCCAGATCCAAACCAAGGTGGGGAATTTGCAAAGCTCAGACCAGAAAAGCAATGATTAGACTTCACCCTAAATGAGACCTCTTAGGACAGAGTGAGAGTTGAAAGATTCCTGGTCTGAGCTGTACCTGAGATCCTTTAAGAACATAGCACTTAATATCCAAAGAAATCAGTAATAGGATGGGATCCTAGAGAATACATATCAGGACCAAAAAAAAAAAAAAAAGCACTGACATTCCTCCCACTAGAACCTATCCCCTAAGACAAAGTTGGGTTAGAGTTAAACAAAACAGATACATACATACATACACACACACACACACACACACACACACACACAATTAAGTGCTATTAAGGAGCTCCGAAGACACAAAACCAGAGGACAATAACTCCTTAACACCTACATGCAAAGCCTCAAAAAAACAAAAACAAAAAACAACTCAGGTTAGCCATAAGGTTAACTAGAATTCTTAGGGAAAAAAATGAAGTGAGAGATTAAAAAAAAAAGAATTAAAACAATACTATAAATGAAACGAGATCTCTAATCTAACTTTAGTCAGATTGTTTTTCTAATGCTCAGTGTCTTAAATACTTGCCTTCATCTGTCCTGTTAATTTCATGTTCACTAAGCCTTGAACTGCTCGGTCTAGAAGGTGATCCCAAAGATGGTTGCAAGGAGGGAAGTTCATCAACATCTCTCAAGTTAGCAAGCATATCTTGTAATTTTGACCTGTTGGGTCCTAGCCAAGAAAAACCAAAATAGAAATAGAGTTACATAAACACATCAAAATATAACCAAAGGATCAATTACATAAAAGGTATTTGCCAACTTGGGCTTATACCTTTGATAATAACATGACTATATGTAAACTAACAAGCAGTACTTATTCCCAGAAGACATAACTTTCTGGAATAAAATTAATTTCTTGAAATCAAAGCTCATTTTGAATGGTATTTATACTATGTTCCTTTTACATAAATGTAAGAATACTAAGATCCAACTTATACCATCAAAGGTAATACTAAATTCCTTTTACCAAAGAGTTAGAAACATTTATAAGTTATACTTTAAATTGTGAATTTATGTGACAGATTCTTTGTAGGGCTAATTTTTACTAATTTACTACTAACAATAGCAGCTATTAAAAAAAAAAAATCAACTGAGTTTACTGGCTTACATCCTGAAGCTATAGTACACAGGTGAAGTCTCATGCCCTGCTGGACACTTACCTGGGCTTTGATCCATCATTCTCCCACATCCCTGTTTTGACTGTTTTATATAGGATAGAGGCTGAAACAGATCTTCGGTAGTTTTTCCTGTTATAAGTTTAATTAAGAATGGGAAAATATCTTACCCATAGTCCATTATGGTTTTTCCTACACCAGCAAAGAATACAACTATTTTCAATCAATTCAAACTAATTCCTAGAACTATATTTCAAGACAATATGATTTTGATACACAATTTGACTGGAAATGTTTCTGTTAGATAGACTTCAATTAAAACATCAAATTTCTGATAAATAACAGCTCAGTTCAAATTTATTGTGGTCTTAAAACAAATGTTTCCAGTTAAATGAAACCCTGTGGGTTTTTCTGTTTTCCCCAGATATTTCCTTTAAGCTTCAATTATTCATTGATGAAAAGAATACAAATTGGTAAACAAAAAGTGAAGTTCTTTTAGACCTCTATCTTCAGTAAACGATCTAACTTCTCCTGACTCAAGCTGAAATTCACTGAAAAAACTACACCATGGTATATGTTTGGACATGAATTATTATTCCCATCTGAAAGAAGATAAATCATTTCTCACATTTAGGAACACTTACAGTCAAATAGTGCAATTTCCAAGATCTAGCACTAAGTTCCAATTACAGCTGTACCTTTACATTAAATAAACTAAAATTTTATCAAGATAAACATAAAGTCTACACAGTTCCTAACTAAAATCTAAAATACCACAAAAGGGCATTTCACATTTTAAAACATTAATTTCTTGTAGAAAAACTACCCAATAAAGTATGTAAGCCTGATTTAAATCCCATATTTTAAAAATTAGAAAAGTTTTAGAACCGCTGGTTTTATGTTCTTATTTATAACCATATAAATGCTTTCTTCACATAAATTAATTTCTCCCTTTAACACTATATATAAAACGAGGAGGTACAAGATTTATTACTTAGAATTCTATATTTTTAATAACAGATATTTGGATAAAATGTTTTCAAATGTAGTAAATAAAATTTTCACCTCTTACTAAAATCTCAACTGATTCTACAGTAACTTGCCTTGAGAAAACAATAATGGATGTTATTTTTAATTGTTCCATTTATGCTTTGTCTGTGTGAAAATTGGCTACAACGCATATTGTCTTTACTGAACATCCTCTAAATGCTACAAATAAGTCCTGATAACTTTAAATGAAGCATAGTAAATGTTATAACATTTCCAAACAGCTACCACCTTATAAGAATACTGTAACATACTAGAAGTAGCAGGTCCTTCAGAAGAATAAATTTCATTACACCAAGTGAAGAAAGATAAAACAGTATCTTTCAACATAGAAGTTTTTTCTACTAGCTAGATTCTGAGCTTGCCTCACAGTCTCACAAAGTGTCTCGAAGCATGAACCTGAAAGTGAGTAAGTAAGGTAGGAACTTGGCCTCTTTTTCATGGAAAATTTTTAGTACTTTATAGCCTTTTTGTTTCAGTTTTAGATAGTTAGCTAGTTCCAACAATTCGCTACTGCTTTGTGAGCAAGTTCATAATGGATATGATGCACAGGGCTAGAAATCTCATTCCTGATTCTGTTTTTGAGTTGATACACCTCAAAATATATAAAGCCATTTGATAATATTATTAAAAGTACAAATAGCCAACAGTTTTGAATTAGAAAGATTTTTTTAGTGTCTTATTTTGCACTTTGTGCCCTGCATAGCATATAATGGTAGATGATGAATAAACTGTGCGCTATGAATGCAAAGAAAACTCAGGGGTAGAAATTAACTCAGCTTCTGGCACCTAAGAAGAAAAAGAGCCATTTGCCAAAAGTGAACTCAAAACCACAGGAACTTAAAAATATATACGAATTTTCATCATCAAAAGGTTTTTAAATTTATAATGCAATTTTAAAATTTCTAAGCAATAAGCTTTTGAATATCCATATGTCACCATATAATTAATACATAGTATGCTTTGCATTGGTACGGACTCCAGATTTTTTCAGCTACAAGCTAGAAATACTATGATTTCAAGATCAGTGATTTGTTGTTTTCACGAGTACATGGCATTAATTTCAACCCCTGAGAACAGGCAAATAGGAAAGAGGTCAGGAACCGCAAAGTAAAAGAGTAAGTAATTTTAGGAAAACATTGAAAGAAAAATTTGAGGGCATGATATAGGCAAGATTTATGGTTTGAAGATACAATGTTTTCCACTTACTCTTCACCGCCTTTTTCCCCTTTCTCTCCTTTTTGTATTGCTCCTTGAGTTTGGTAATTACTCCCTGGTCCACATTCCAGGCTTCAGGCATGAGACACTGGTCTTCCTTTTCTAAATAGAGTAAAACAAATGAAAGATAACTTTTTTCAATAAAATACTGAATACCATAAGCAATTTTGTCTGAATGATACAGCAATGGCCTTACTCTTCATCTTAGCACTTTTGTTTATAAAAACCAGAACATGCTAAATCAAAAAGAATGTAAAAGTCATTTAACAGGGTGTTCTTGAGAACAATGTTCAGATTAATTTCTGGTGTAATAGTATTAACTCTTTTTTTGAAGAAACATATAAGGAAAATTTAGATAGGTGAAATTTTAAAAGAACAATACTAGATAGTTCCCTATTACTTCCTAGCAAATTAGTCATGAAAAAGAAAACACAACTCCTTCATTTCATTTTCCAAAATGCATGAGATGCTATATAATTCTTATAACACTGTTCATTTTTAAAACATATATATGACTCTATAAAAGTTTGTGTAGATAATTTTCTACTTTAACAATGAATAATTCTAATGATTGTGATGTATCAACAACAAATGATTAAAGATTTTTGGTGTAAAGAATGGTATGGTAATGGTACAAAGAATTTTGCTTTGAAAAACAATTGCAACAACTCATTTACTTAAATACCCTCAGGATTTGTAATTTTAACAGTCTGGGTTCTCTGTGAAAGAAGATCACAATCCCTTCAGTAGGCAACTCCAAAAATTGATGTGACTGAAAAAAAATCATCTTGTGGTGCATCTTATCTGGCCAGTCAGTTTTTTAAGTCTTTTCAAACTTGGTAAAACCAACAAGAGCTTGTGTTCCCCAGACATGGTCTATGATAACCTAGGGTAACCTCCACATTGTAACACAAAACAGAAGTAAGACTTTAATGGAGAAAACAAACCTTTATGACATTAAAAGCAGAAAAAGGATTGATTTTTAATGCATGAAATTCCAAAAAGACATGTACAATCCTTTTTTTTGGTTTGTTTTACTATAAACATAGTGCTCATTTTATTTGGTGTTAAATTCTGATTAAAAAATTCAAAGGAAAAAATTAAACTGAAAGGAGAAAGAAAAACAAGTGACTTCAAATAGTGAAACTGAAGTCTATTTTCATTATTGAAAGTAAATAAAATAAGCTATAAAAATCAAGTAAGATTCTGAAATATTTCAATTTCACTAAGTTTGATAAGAATTTTTAAGAATGAGACTCTTTACACTAGGATTGCTGGATACAGGTTAAAATATGCAAAAAGCTAAAATGCTTATAAAGGAATAGTTTATTTTAAAACAATAAAGTCAAATGATGACAATTAAGTCCACACAGTCAATGAAACTGCTCTCTGTTAGAACAGGAAAAACTTTCACAAAAATACTCTATCTTCAAATTCTTCTAACCATAAAATTTTCAGTATCAGAATCACATTGGTTAACTTCTATCAAAAAGAAAGGAAAGAGCAGAACAATCAGCCCAACCCAGATTATAAATAAAATTAACTCAATTACTAATCAGAACCAAGGAAATTTTTCAGTGTGAGTGGATTATTTTTTAAACAAATCAAAAAAATTTTCCCCTCCCATCATAGTTAAGCTTTAATATTTCTATTATATTCAAATAGCAACATGTGCAAAATATTTTTTGCTGGTTAATTTTAAGTAGTGATGACTTATATTTCAAAATCCATCATCACATTATATTCCAAGGGAGAAAAACCATTAGTGATGGAAAAAAACTACAGACTTGAAAATAAGTTGGTTATAGACACACATCCAATATTCCATCACTACATCAGAATCTCTGAAGAATCAAATCAAATAAGCACTTCATGTGACCCAAAGCACAAAGAAGCTCTGTGGCCACTAGGTGGCATAATGGGCAAAGTGCTGAACCTGGGAGTTAGGAAGAACCCATTTCAAATCTTGTCTCATACATTTATACACACTAGCTTTGTGATCTTTTGCAAATCATTTAATCTCTCTCATGCTGTTTCTTTATCTTTAAAATGGGGTTAATAACACCACCTACTACACAGGGTTCTTGTGAGGATCAAATAAAATCACACATATAAAGTTCTTTGCAAATTTTAAAGCTTTATATAAATGCCATCTATAATAATAATGATGATGAGATGCATAATGGGTGTAAACAGGCCAGACCACATTAACAATGACTACTTGTTATTGGCATACAATATGAGAATTTGTTTTGCCTGGCTGCATATTTGTAACAAGACTTTTGTTGTTATTTTTTATTTCTTTTAATGGTGGGGATAGGAGGAAAGACATTGATTTTTGTTAAGAAAAATGTAAATTAAAAACAAAGAAGAGGCATAAAATATACTCAAGTGGATCGATGATTTGATTCAGAAGATCACTCTGATGAGGCAGATAGCAATCATTGTAGGAACAGTATGAATCCCAGAAAGGCTAGATTAGTTTTTTCGTAAAGGTAATGAACCATCCTTCAAGATTTAATTGACACACGGGACTAAGGCTTATACTGCTAATATAACTTCCTGGCTACCAAAGAATAAAAATCTAGCTAGAGAAAGGAGTCAGTCTGGTCTTCAGTCTTGAAAGACACATTAGTGTCTTTCACTAATTAATAACTGCATGCCATCATGGCAAAAGTGATGGCTGTATCCAAGTAAATCAATATTGCATCCTTGCTAACTATCCTTTCCATACTACTAAGTAAATTTCTTTTTAAGATGCTAGATGACATATGAGTATATTATTTTGTTTCAATACTGAACCTGAAATACCAGACCAGGTTGAGTCAGGCCTAATCCAAAACATTTGGCATTAATCATCAGGACTGGATTAGAATGACCCTGTAGATGAAGTGGTAGAATGGCAATGTAAAGAAAGAGGAACTCTAAGGGAATGGCTTGCCAGATAAGACAGCCTTGGACTCACAGCCACTGTGCTTCTAATGGTACTTCTGGACATTTATTTTGAATGTTATCAATAAGACAGGGATAAGATCCCATTAACCTGGAGGGATTAGGAAATAAACTGTTCATGAGCATTCATAAACTAGAAACAGATGCTTAAGTATTCTGGGTCACTGAGAACTATGCCTTGAAGATGACAAATGTAAATAGCTGTTTGCTGAATTTGTATAACTTTTACTTGGGAGTGATTGTAATCTCTAGACCCACTAGCTATAGTTCTAGGACCTTGCTGAAGACTGTTATTTTAGGTATTGTGTAAGAAGTGTGCTAAATGGATTCTCTGGATTAATGCTTGGGCCTCCCTAGAAGCCAGAGACGTTCTCAGAATTGGAGATATGGACAAATGTGCCAAATGCACTTCAGTTCATGTGCTGAGGACGCAGGGTGTTATACCAGTTTTAAGAAGTGACAGCTTCCACCAATGTTCCAGAACTGTGAATGTAACTTTCTTTATAAAAGGAACTTCCAGTAAGGGGTCAGTGAGGCCCTGGTAGGTTCCATCCTAGCACAGGTCACAGGTACTTCTCCCTTCTACCCTAGTAGAAATGGTGACTGCTCAAAAAAAGCAACTGAAGCACATGTCCTACCTCTGTCTCTAGCTACCTCCTAGGGTTTGCATCTGTTTTCCTGAGCATAGATAGGCAAACAGCAATTCTGAGATGGACATTCTTAGCTTTCATGGCAGGCACCAGGAGTCTCAGAGAAATGGCCAGTTTAGGAAAGCCAATCCTAATCCTTTGTTTACTATAATATACAAGTGAAAGGCCTCTCTGTACTGTTCCCAATACACTATCAAGTGGTCAATCCCATAATTGCCTTCTCCACCTATGGACCAAAGGGTGGAATCTTTGACAGGTGCTTTTTTTTCTAACAACATGGAGGAGATGAAACTGCATAATTCCTAAGTCCCACATAAGGAGAGTCAAGATGATCAGGATAGATTTAAAAAAAAAAAAAAAAGGGCAAAAACTTGTTAAACTCCTGACCATGAAGCTCTTTAGGGGTTAGTCTCTTGCTAAGGGTAAGCCTTGTTATTGACCCTAACACCAGCAAAGGCTGCATGAAATATCCTCTTCACTACCTTACTATAGATGACCATAACCAGCGATGAAGATTAATGACTGCCAGAAATATTATCATCTAACTCTGGTCCTTATGTTCCTGATGCTACACTTGGTCACTGTCACTATACTTTACACTATTACTGTCAGAGACCTGCCACGAATTGCAAATATTTGACATGATCTACCACATGGACCATGTCATTAAGATCCAGGCATTAGTGTTCCAAAGGGAGATGTAAAATCTCATATTTTTGGTATTTATTCTCCTCCATATTTGGTTATTCCTTCCAGGGACTGTTAACACTGCTTGCTGCCATTCTGTTTTTGTTTTAAATAACTTAGGCTTTTCTTATAAGCTGTCTATGTCACAACAAGGTCAGGGTTACCCAGAGAAAGCCATAGGGATACTTAAGTAGTGGAAAACCCTTAGATGACCTTTAGACTCAAGGGTGAAGGAAGGTTGAGGAGAATGAAGATTAAGAAAGGGCCACTGGATTTGGCAATTAGAGATTACTGGTTTTCCAGGTCACCTAGCAACAAACTGGAGGACTAGACGTTTTCTATAATTCCTACTACCACTCAAACCTCTCCAAAACAGAAATTACATACCAAAGATAAAGCAAGTTCAATTGCCGCCATGGGCTAGGACACTCAAAATCCAAGACAATTAAAAAAACCCTCAAACTCATGAACTAAATTTTACTGACCTTGAGGCACTCACATGAGCTCACCTTTTTCATGTCCTGGGCTGCAACGGCATATCCAAAAACCTGACATAGGTTTACAACAAAACAAAACCTACCCCAACACCACAATTCCTCAGCTCATTCTTTTCTAGCCATTTATGGAGACCTTGGCTCCAGGCTGCAGAAGTTTGCCCAGGCCACAAGAGACAGTTTAGGGTGACCACAGCCCTTCAAGATCAAAAGCCGGCTGGGGCCCCAACCCCAAAACACAAAGCTCAGAATTGCAAGTGCCAGGCCAGAGAACTAAGGGGGGGGGGGGGGGAACCATAGGTATGGGGGATGATGGTAC